TAAGGCCGCGCGGCCGGGCCCAGGCGCGGCGCGGACAGCTGTAGGGCACGGCTCGTCGCCGGCCTTTGTGTTCTGGTTTTTCATTTTCATTGTTTTTGGAGTGGGGTTAGTTTTATTCGTTCACTCGGTCGCCCCCGTCCTTGCCTGTAGCGGGGATCCAGGAGTCGTTTCACTCTGCAGCTTTACCATTGCTGCTGGCGGGCTGCGGGGGCTCCCCGGGACTTAACGTGGAGACCTCCGGACTTGGGCACGCACTCGAGGGAGGGAAGGCGGCGCGCGGCCGTGCGGCGGAGGCGCTGAGACTTTCGCACGCGCTCGTGCACACACGCGCGCGCCCTCCGCTCCGGCCTCGGCCGTGCCCTCGGAAGGCCCGGCTCTTGGCCCGGTGCAAAGGGACAGAAACCTCGTGGGCAGGATCAGTTTCTTGGGAACAGTACTTCATAGCGCAGCAGTGAAACGACAACATCAGCCCAGGGGCCCGGAGGCCGGGGGGCCGCCCCGCGCGTGCGGCGAGCGCCGTCCGAGCGACCTTAACGGAGGCGCAGCTCAGCCTTCGCCCGCCAGAGGCCAGGGCTCAGCCGCCTGTCAAAAACTGGCGCTTTTTTCCTGCTTTCCGTGGGGAGACTATCAACTCCATCTGTCACAAAATCGAGGCTAAATCTCCCCGCAGGCGGAGGGAGCCGGGCTCCCACGCGCTTCGAGCTGCGCCGGCTGCGCTCCCCGGAGGCCGAGAAAGTCCCCAGCCGAGGGGCCGGGGCAGCGGGATCCCCGGCCGGGCTGAAGGAAGGGGGCAGTCATGCTCTGGCAGAAATCCAACGATATAAATCTGTGCTGAAGATTTCGTAGGAAATCTGTGACTTCGATGTACGTCCGACCAACTGTCCCTGGGGCTGTTTGTTCTTGGGCGGGCAGGGGTGCTGTTTGTTGCGGTTGTCTGGGTCCTGCCCGGAAGGCCTGGGCTGCTCACCCACTGGGTCCTCCACCTGTGAAGTGCAGGGCCAGAGTGGTCCCTTCCCTGAAGGCCCTTGGGGCTTCAATGATGTGGATGGTAGACTCGAGAGGAACTAAAGAAGGAGGGCAGCGTCCACTCGTTGTCGGGTTCACGTTTGTTGAGTTCCTTTAGACCAGCCGATCTCAACAGAGCCAGCACAGAATTGTCCCAGGCCCTTGCTAAAATCCGAGGAGGCCGTGATTGGGTAAAAACAGGATCTGGGGCATCTGCATTTCTATCAAGTGCCCAGGGAGTGCCTCTGCTGCTGGTCAGGCACCATACTACTCCATAGGTAGAAAGGGCATCTGCCTGCCTGTCTGTCTGTCTGTCTATCTATGAAACTCGCCCTACCTTGCCCCGACCTTGCTCTCAAATGGGATTTGAGGAAGGCCTAGGAGCACTGCCTGCTCTGGGGTCTTTGGCATCGCTGTGTGAGCCTGTCCAGTGTTGCAGTCGGTTTATTCCCACCCACTCACCAAGGCTGTACTTGTTTATGTTGTTTTACACAAAGAAACAAACCCCAGGAAACTTCTAGGGCACAAGCCCCACTTGGTAACGGGCATTTCCATGAAAACTCCGTTTTAAGCCTTCTGTTTCTGTGGTTTTCCGTTCTGGGTTCTCGGTTACGCCACATGTTCCTCCTCAAGGTGGCCAGTGAGCAGCATCTTGCTGTGCCCGGTCTCCACTTGTCAGTCACCACCTCATCTGACGTTTCGGCAGCATTCGATGGGACTAATCATTTTTTTCAAAATAGTTTTTAAAATCCCGTTTGCCTCTGGAAATCAACACTGCTGTTCTTCATTTGACTCGTTGGCAGGCCCTTTCCTAATTTTTCTCCATAGGTGATTTCATCCCGTGCTTTAGTTTTCAGTATAACACATACCTTGTATGTTTTCAACCTCAGTCATTCTCTGATTTACATTTGTATGCATTTATTTAGTGGTCAAAAAAATCCTAAACTGCCTATATAAGACCACTTCTAGATTCTTCATGCCAAACCTGTTTGTTGTCTTTCTGTGCCAGACAGTCTCCAAAATTGATCTCCATCAATTTCCGCCCCTATTTATGTCAGTGCTGCTCAGAGCCATAGGCCAGTCTTCTCCCCTGTATCTCCTGCAAGCTTTAGTGACTGACTGGCCAGTAAAATGTGGTAAAAGTCATGGACATTTTGGAGGATTCTGTACTAGATCCCCTGATACCGTGCTGAAGTCTTCTTCTTGTCTGTCTCTTGCTTTGTTTAGAGGAATTCATTCTTGGGAACAGAGCTGAATTGTGTCAGCCCCATGTGGAAGGAGCTCCTGCCTGTTCATGCACGGCCGAGTTGTTGCTCCCTCAGAGGAGACCTGGAGACTTCCTGAACTCCATGCTTCCTGCTCCACAGGCCCCTCTCCACTTTTGAATTCTATTAACTTTAAGAAACGTCTTTCACATCCACTCTTCCTATCTTCTTACGTTCATGGTTTCTTTGAAGTTTTTGTCGTTACTGAGTGCTAGATGTTTGACTCTTCCTCCAAACCAGATGTTCTAAAGGAAGAAGCATCTCAGAAGCACTTGGGAATTTGTTGTTGTTGTCCCCCCCCCCACCAAAATATATAAGCTTCTTCTAACCCTGTTATACTTAAATTCTTCTCCATGGACCAAAGAATGTATATTTTTCTAGGAAAAATAACTTTTGTTACTTTCTCGATGCTGGGACATAATACCTGACAAGCACAAGTTAAAGGAGGAAAGGTTTATTTTGGCTCCAAGTCTGGAGTCGGCTGGCTCCAAGGCAGGGTGGCACAGCAGAGGGCCATTGCCAGGGAGAGCAGGGCGCAGTCCACCCAAGAGTACAGTGCCTCCATGAGTCAAGCACCTCCCCAAAGGTCACCTGTGCGCGTTTGGATGGGAGCGCTATCTACATATAAACCCTAACAAAATACGAAACTATTTTTCTGTTTAAATAATCCTGCCTATGATCACTACACTTTCAGAGTTCATAGATCATTTAATTTTTGTATTCTTTGAGTTTACTGGTATAATTGAGTTGTACATTGTGATCGCATTCATCATAGGGGATTTGTACCTGTACATGATGTACCTTGGTTCTTATTTTTTCCCCATTCCTCTTACCTCCCTTCCACGCCTCCATCCCTCCCTCTTTGCAGAAACTTTTTTTCCATTATTTTCTTTTCTCATTTTTTTCTTTCCCCTGCCCCTCCCCACTCGTTCCCCTTTCCCTTTGAACACTTTTTTTATTCCCCAATATCTATTATACATTTTAGTCCTCATTTGTACTTTGTTTCTCACACCAGAGAAGCAATTCGGTATTTACACATGTGTGTCCCATTTATCTCTTAAGCATATGGTCTCACACCTATGTAACAGCTAAAACTTGGAAACAGCCCATTTGCCCATCCGTTGGAAACTGGATAAAGAAGATGTGGTTTTTCTATAAAATGGAATATTACTCAGCCATAAAGAATGAGAAATTAGATTCATTCATAGGAAAATGGATACATATTGAGGATATACTCCTAAGTGAAATAAATAAATCCCACATGTGTAAATGCTGAATAGTTTCTCTGGTGTGAATAAACTATAATAGTACATAAGATCCTAATGAGATAATGGACAGTGTGAAATAGGAAGAAAGGGGCTAAAGGTATAGGGAAAGTGGGAAGGGTAGGGGAAAGGAAATAAGGGAAAAGAAAAGAATATGAGAAAATGAAAAAATGGAAATGAAGTGTTTGTAAAGGGGAAGGGGAGGAGGGGTGAAGGGAGGGCAGGGTCAAGGGGTAAAAGTGAGAACCAAGACCTGTCATGTAGAGGTACAAGATCCCAACAATGAATGTAACTGCACTGTATCCCTAAAATGTACCAATAAACTTAATGAGGAAAAAAAATGTGGTCTCAAGATGCATCCATTTAGCTATAAATGACCCTAGTTTATCTTTCTTTATAGCTGAGTAGCACTCCATTTTATATATTAAAAAACCCACATCTTCTTTATCCAATCACTAGTTAATGGACATTTGGAATGTCTCCGAGTTTTAGCTATTACAAATTGTTCCACTATAAACATGAGAGCACATATGTTGCTGTGGTATGATATTTTTAATTCTTTTGGGAAAATACAAAGAAGGGGAATAGCTGGGTCAAATGGAACTTCTAGCTTTATTTACTTATTTATTTTTGGTACTGGGGATCAAACTCAGGACCTTGCGCTTGCAAGACAGGTACCCAAACCACTGAGCTAAATCCCTGGCCCACAGTTTTAGTTTTATAAAAAATCTCTAAAGTATTTTCCACAGTGGTTGCACCAGTCTACACTCCCACCAACAGGGAAGAAGTTCTCCTTTCTCCTCACTATCCCACCAGCATTTGTTATTGGTAGATTGCTTGATAGCAGCCTTTATTACTGGGGTAAGATGGAATCTCAGTGTTGTTTTCATCTGCATCTTTCCAATGACCAATGACGTTGAACGTTTTTTCATATATTTATTTGCCATTTCTACCTCTTCATCTGAGAAATATCTGTTCATTTCAGATGCCCATTTTTGGATTGGATTTTTAAAATTTGGGGTCTAATTCTTTATATATTCTACATAATAGTTCTTTGAAGAACAGCTGGTAAAATTTTTTTCTCACATTATGAGCTGTCTCTTCAATCTATTGGTGATATCTCTTACTATGCAGAAGATTTTTAATAAGATGAAATCCCAGTCACTGATTCTTTGTGATGGTTTCCATGCCACCCAGTTTTTATTCATAAAGTCTTTGCCTATACCAATGTCCTCAAGAGTTCTACCCAACCTGTCTTCCAGAAGATTTAGTGTTTCTGATTTAATATTTAGATCTTTGATCCATTTCATTTTTAGTTTAGTGCATGGTGAAAGATATGGGTCTAGTTTTAATCTTTGGCAGGTTGAAACTCAGTTTTCTCAGCGCCACTTATGAAAGAGGCTACCTTTCCTTCGATGAGGATGTTTGACCCCTTTGTCAGAGATGAGGTGGCTGAGCGTGTCTGGAGCTGTTTCTGCATCTTCTAGTCTGTTCCAGATTTGCAGATGACATGATGATTAATTTTTGGATGACATGATAGTCTGCCACTGCCTGCTTGGCTGGCTGAAGGGTCCACTGAGTGAAAATGATGGCAGAAGATTAAGAAAAGGTAAAGAAATATACAAAAGAATAAAGAAAAATAAAGGTGGGGCCAGGTAGGGCTCTCCTGATGGAAGGAAAAGACCCCAGGCAAATGCAGCCCATTTATTTATAGTGGTAGAGATAAGGGAAGTGCAGGGGGAGCTAAGGGGGCTTGTCTGTAACCGGAGCCAGGAGAGTAGCTAAGGTCTGCAGGACGTGTGCTTGGTGGTTTTCTGGCGAATGGGAGGGGAGGAAGACAGTCCTCTTCTGGGCCAGGCCTTGCTCCACCTTGCCTCATTTTCACCTGTCCTCAGCGAGGCCCAGCCTCGTCCCGGGAAGAAGTGAACACTGGGAGCCCTGACTCATCCACAGGAGGAGGAGAGTTAGGCCTGACCTGAAACTCTACAGTGCAGCACTCCCAGCGGCACTCCGTATAGAAGAGCCCAACACTCCACCAAAAGATTTCTAGACTTAGTAACCGAATTCAGTAAAGTAGCTAGGTCAACACTCAAAAATCGATAGCCTTCCTATACACAAATAACAGACTCACTGAGAGGAATTGGGAAAACAACACTTTTCATTATAGCATCAAAAGAAAAAAAGAGAAAACCTACAAATCAGTCTAACAAAGGAAATGAAAGATCTCTATTTTGAAAACCACAGCACTCTGAATAAAAGAGATCAAAGAAAATATCAGAAAATGGAAAGGCATTCCTTGTTCTTGGTTAGGAAGAACCAGAATAGTGAAAATGGCCATCCTACCAAAACTGTTACACAGATTCAATGAAATCCCGATCAAAATTCCAACAGCATATCTCACAATTAGAGAAAACAATCCTAAAATTCATTTGGAACCAGAAGAGATCTAGAATAGCAAAGACAATTCTGGCAATAAAGGTGAGGAAGGAGTATCACAATGCCTGACCCGAAACTATACTCCAAAACTATTATGATAAAAACAGCGTGGCACCAGCAAAAGAACAGACTTGAGGATCAATGGAACAGACTAGAAGCTGCAGATCATTTTTTAAAAGTTAGAATTATCTTTGAAAAATGCTAATTTTTCATTGTGTAAATATTAACAAATAAGCAGTAAATAAATATTTAAACCTCTTACTACGATCTATTAATGCTTATGTTCTTCAAAGTGCCTAAGGCAGGGAAAGAGTAACTAGAGAACAAAGGCTTCGTGTTGCATGAATTTGCGTATTTAAAGAATTCACTGTATTACCTTATCTCTCATTTCAGTATATGAACTTCCGAACGTGGGACATTTCTTGGGGAATGTTTGCATCTTCTGGTGGCATTTTGGAATTATTACTCCAAAGTGGTCTTCAGTACTACTGTTGAATGTGCCAGACAAATCAGGGCTCCACTTAAACATTTGCCGTTTCTCTTCAGGAAAACGTCCAGATCATTGTGAAACGTCATTTTGGAAGGCCAGTCTCGCAAAAGCCCGTCTCTTCCTGCCTGCACTCCCAAACACAAAACACACATGTGCAGGTGTACACATGCACTCATGTGGCGAGCATACACCCCCCCACACACATAATCACATGCGTACACTCACATGTTTGTAGGTCCACACACACATGTGTACGCACGAACACAGACACATGTGTACTTGTCCGCCTGGTGCCTTCAATTTTACCTTCGTCGGTCTGTCTGGGGCCCTTGGTAATGTTGGTCTGTTCAGCAGACCCTACTCTAAAGGGAGAGCCTCCTTGTAGACTCCTTCCTCCTGGGTGATGCATGTAACCCCAATACCCGCCTCTCTGCACACGTACTGTGTTCTCATCCGTACAACAAACAAAGCCTGCGGAAGGGCTACAGAAAAGTGATCGAGGGAAGGGTGTGAACTGCTCTTTGGTAGCCCCTGATCAGATGCACGTCGATGTGACGTGAAACATTCGGTTGTTAAACTGCAACTTGCATCTAATAATGAAACCTGGGGCTTCCCTTTAGCTATCAGTGTATATTTCTAGTAATTTCTTAATTTTGCTTTGCAAAAGTATCTGTGATAGATGGAAAAGACGATCTATTTTTAGCCGGAGCCAATTCGAGAAGCACCATGCTACATACACTGGAAAAAAAAAAAAAAGTGTGGACACAGTTATTTTGTCTGGCTTTGGAGGTATGTGAGTTGTTAGGGACCAGAACCTTCAGGGTTCAGCACTGTGTGAAGGTTGAGAAAAATGTAAGAAATGTTTAATTCTTCAGAGACTGTTGTTAATAATTCCGGATGCCAATCGGCACACAGTCTTGGTTTTATGGGCTCTCAGGAGTGCAGACAGAGCAGCTGCCCAGCACGGTCACGCCTGCTCTCCAAGGAGCAGACCCTTGGCTTTGGGACTGGGGAGATGAAGATCATGGCTAGCTTTCAAGATCTTACAACGTGGGGAAATCCCCACAAAGTCAGTGAGTGATCCAATTCACAGGAAACTTACTTTCATATTTTTTTGAAAAATGCGCATTAGTGAAATGGAGATTTGAGTCCCACAGTGAGGTCACCATAGAAGTTTCAAGGCATCACACAATTCTTCCCTCAGTGGCTTGCAGTTAGCTGCCTCGTTTTCTATGAAGAGCAATTTTTCCAAGAGAAAATGATACAGACATCACTCCCAGGCTGTATTATAATTAGAGCCAATGCTACAATGAGCACAGGAGAATGTGTCAAAGCAATCCCCAATCCTGTCTCCAAATCTGTGATCTCACTACTGGAATTAAGATGAAACTTTTAAATTACCACTTCATAAATCTGGGTAAATGGTGTTCTTTGTAAGAGAACAATTGCCTTAAAGGTCTGTCTTTTCTTGCAAAGAGCTAAGTAAAGACAAAAGTCTTAACAGTAACTCTCAGTGACAACAAAAATCTATGAACAAGCTGGTTGAGATGCGTGTCTAGTCAGTGCTTCTTTAACAGCTGGGAGAAACACGATAATAACATATCTTTAATGGTGAAAATTTATATCATGAAATGTTTTGGGAAAAGAATTATGACCTTATCCATTGATAAAGATTACAAGCCATCTAATTCTTTTTAATGAAATGCATATCCCATGACTTTGTCAAATATATATATTGGGGAGTTCACACTGTTATTTTTAATCTGCTTTTGTATTTACCTGCTCATTTTTCACTGACCTTGGTTCAGTCCGTGAAAAATTCAGCATTTGTCAAAAACAAAAAACCAAAAAACAAACCTTTTTCTGTAGAACCGGGGATTGAACTCAGGGCCATCCCACGTAGCTGCAGCCCCAGCCCTTTATTTCTGGTTTTATTTTGAGACAGGATCTTTCTAAGTCACTAAATTGCCTTGGGGTGAACTTGCAGTCCTCCTGCCTCAGGCTCCCAGAGTGCTGGCATTACAAATACGTACCACAATACCTGACTAAAAATACATTTTCTTAAAAAAAAAGGAAAGTAGGATTTCTTACTAAAATGACAAATCAATTCTGAAAAATCCTTCCAAGTTACCTTTGAAATCTTAGAAATCTCTGCTAGAGATACATCAGAATTTTTTTTTTCAAAATATTGTGTGATAACCATTAAATGAGACAAAACGTATGTTCTGTGCTTCTGATAGGGATGAAATTATCCTTTGGTTGATGGGCCATAGCTGAAACACACCTTTTCTTTTCTTACCAACTTCTTACTCTGAAATGTGTTTCCTCTATGCAGCCAACTTCAGATTTGGAGTCTCAGGTTCTCTTATGGGACCTGGGGGCCCTGTGGCTTCTCAGCAGCCCATGATGTGTGTGCTCCACCATTGGTAGTTGGGGAGTCTTGTGCGGGCTTGTGCTGGATCCCAAGTGGTCCAGCTCCCCAGTTGCTGTTAGGAGAGGGGTTAATTGCCCTGGTAGTCTTCTGTCTATGATCTAGGTTTGGGGCTGTGGGAGAGACAGAGCCACCTGAAAAGCAGAAGTTTCCTAGGGCCCTGGACATAAGTTTGTGACAATGCAAAAACTACTAAACACAAAGTGATGGAGTGCAGCAGTGTTTTGGAATAGGAGTTACATCCTGCCTGAATGATGAATTTCTATGTATCCTTCATTTGTTCCCCAAACCTTGAGCATATATGAATGTGTCAGGAACTGTTCCTGGGTCCCACAGGTCCCACAATGAATGTGACAGGGGAAAGTCCCTGCACATAGGGTCATTTTATCCAGTGGGCGACATAACTGTCTTTTCTCGTTCTCCTGGTGAATCTCAGAACGGTGTGAATCCTCACTATAAAAGTAGAGCTCATTTCTGGAAAGCTGCAGACACTCTCAGGCTCAGCCTTATCTCTTCTCCGTAAGCCAAAGAAGTGAACAGGATTCTGTCCTGAGACCGTCCAGGCCTGGGGAAGAAAAGTCCCTGAGAGTCAAACCCTGGAGACCATCTGGAGGAAGCACAGGCAATGGGTCGGGAGCAGCCTTTGAAAGCGGGTCAGCCACTGTCTGCCGCAGGCTTGTGGGAATTGCTCAAGAGGAAGAAACAGCTAGAGAGAAGCAAGTGCACATATATGTTTTTAAAGTAGCTTGCAACCAAGACAACACCAATTATTTAACCACAGTAAAGCAACCAGCAGTCAAACCACACTGATTATTTAACCGCATATCCAAGTGCTGAACACAGCCATAGCAGCCACGTTAATTTAATGTAAATATCCTCCGTAACTAGCCCAGCAATGGGGCAGGAGCTGCTGCAGGAACGGCTCCTCACCTTCCCTTGTCTTAGCTCCAGATGTCTGGGGCTGAGAAACTGGCTGCAATCCAACCAATATCTTCCTTTTTTTTTTTGTCCTTTTAAATTTTTGTTTCTGTAAAATCTGAGTCATTCCTCTTTGGCTGATCTGCAGTCTCCCTGTGCACGCTTGCTCAGGGAGACATTTCCCTGGGTCAAGTCTGCTCTTTTATGTTAGTCCCCACCTATCCTGTTCATTTCAGTCTCCTTCCTCACCTCAGTGATTCCCAGAGCGCTGGATTCCTACCCCATCATTTGTCTTTAATCATTATCTGTAAGCTGCATCCTCAGGAGTGCTATCAGGAAAACAACTTCCTTCCTTGCTATTTGCAATGACGCGTTCCACAACAGGCCAGAATTTACTATAAAGTAGTCCCTTTCACCGAGAAATGCCAGCCTCAGGAACCTTATTCTTGTCGGAAACACGCAGTCCCACGCTCCCTGCCACAGGTATGGCATCGGACTTGAGGTCGGCCATCCATTGATGTCTGGCATCTCGTCTGATTCCTGCCTTTTTGGATCTGAACCAAGCAAAGCCGAGACTGAAATGAAGAGTGGCATAGATTCAGGACTGGCTGACAGGAGGGCTGCTTGCCCACACAGCAGGTTGGATGGAGAGAGGAATAGCTGAGGAGGACCCTGTGGCCCCCCAAAGTTAAAAGTGAAGTAACTGGCCACTGGATACTTCCCTGAAGGAAGGAAAGAGGTTCTCACTTCCTGTCTGTGATCTTGTTTATTTCCCACGAGGCCAGTTTCTGTCTCAGATAGTAAAACCATGAAATTGTCGCTGTATCTTCATATTAATTGCAACTCAGCAGATTATAGGGCAAGATCAGGCTCAGGTATCATTTTTTTCCTCAGGGCCTAGCTTTTCTCTAGACATGGGATCATTTTCAATATGATGCTTCTGAAAAAAACACGCATCTTACATTATGTGTAGAGAGGTGTCCTAGACACAGCACAACAAATTTAATGGGAACTTGAACTTCTGAAAGTGAGTCGTGGAGCTGCTGTATATTTAAAAAAATTCCACAGTGCCATTTATGCCCAGTCAGCTCCTGCTATATCTCACCAATGGCAAAACACAATATTGGTGGACAGAAACTGCCGCCTTTGGGATATTCAGGGCTGTATTTTTACTTCTCCAGCTCAAACGGACCAAAGTTTTAGTGGTGGGACGTTAGCTATCTCTTGGGAAGGCTAAGTTTGAGATGTTCTTTGAACACCGAGTGTGCCATGAATCCTGATACATCAATTTTATAAGAAATACCCAGCAGATCAGTAGAGTACACTCCCAGGTGTGTCTGGCCAGGTGATGGAGGTGTGGGTGACTGCACATGTCTCTCACCTGCTCCTCTCTGGCACTGTCCCCTGCTGTGCTTCCAGCTGCCTGGAACCAAGTGGCTTTGCCGCACCATGTCCTTCTGCCTTAAAGCCTCGCCACCCAGGAATGGATCTGCCAAAAGGATGAGCTAAATCAAACCTTTCCTCCATTAAATTGTGGGTGTTGGGCTTTGTGTATACAGCAATGGAAGAGTAACATGTACACTGAGTAATTTTACAGATATGGAGGTCCTATGTGGGATTGAAAATACCAAAAAGCACATTTATAGAAGGAAGCGGCATGTCATATCCAGTGTTGCTAAAAGTTCAACCAAGATGAGGAGTGAGACGTGACTACCGTGCAGAACAAGATCTTATTAGTGACCAAGAAACAGTGCATAAAATAATGAGATAAAACCTGATTATAGCGAATGAGGAGAACCAAGGGGAGGGGCAGAAAAGGAAAGACCAACTTTTCAATGAGTTTTCTCAGAAGCACAAAAGTTTCTTGCTGAGGCCTCCTCAGGAGGTGCTGCTATTGGCATAGATGGTGCAAACAGCCAGGATTTGGACCTAAGCCTTCCCCACCATGGACTGATTCAATGGTCCTATGAGAGTTCATTCAACTTACTGAGACTTTGGGTTCCTTGGCCAGTAGAACGGAGTTAAGATCAGGAATCATTAACTGAAGAATTGGCCTTCAGAATATTATGCACATAGTAGGTAAGAAACCACAGACAAAATGATTTATTTGCCTGATACTGTATCTCTGAGTGTACACTATGTGCTAGCTTAAAAAAAATGCATATGCTTTTGTGTACCTTTTGGTCACTGCTGATCTTCTGAGCACCTGGCGCAGCACTGCCGTTTATGAGCCTGAGCACCTACCAAACCTACTCAGAAACCTCTTGGCTCAGCTGAGGTGGGAAGGTCTCTGCCCTCCACCATGAACATCTCCCAACCAAACAAAGCTCTGCTGAGTTGTTTCCCAAATGTAGATTCCAAGTCCTCTCTCAGACTTACAGGAGAACACCTTTTGGGGCATGGGCCAGAGAATCTGTTCTTAGCACTGTTTCCAGTAATTTTTTTCCATGCATTGGAATCCATGGAATCTGCCAAGGAAATGTGAATGCTTGTAGGCGTTTCTGACCAGATGGGTGACAAGAGATTAGCATTTTCAGATTAATCTGGCAGCAATTATTTGGACTTCTGTGACAGGCGAAGGGCAGAAGAGCTGATCAAGGTGAAGCTGCAGCTGGCCAGGGTGAAGACTTTCATGGTATCAGGACAGCAATGAATAGAGAACACAGGGCAGGTGAAGAAGAGACTTTTAGGTTGGGATTGGCAATAACAGTGGCTCGTGCCTGTGATCCTAGTGATTCGGGAGATGGATGCAAGAGCACCACAAGTTCAAGGCCGGCCCAGGTGCTTCTGTCTCAAACAACAACAACAACAACAACAACAAAAACAAAAACAAAAACAAACAAAAAAACAAAGTCTTTGTAGATAGGGAGGGAAGGTTGAGGGGAGGGCAGGGGAATGGGGAAAATATAAGAACCAAGATTGGTTATGTAAAGGCACCAGTTTCCAACAGTGACTGTCATTATATTCTATACATTCAATATGCCAATAAATTCATTAAAGAAAAGAGAAAAAAGTGGGGGTTGAGGGTGCTGCTCAGTGGAAGAGCACTTGCCCAGTGTGTTCATTTCTTGGCACTGCAAACCAAAACAACAGCGCAGAAACGTTAGCAGTGTTCAGAGTGGAGGTAACGAATCCAGAGGAAGAGAGGAAGGCTCTGGGGTCTGAGGCGGTGCCGCCCCGGGCTCGTTTTCCTCTGCCTCACATTCCAGGTGGAGCCTGAGTAGTCACCATCTCCGTCTGGCGTCTCCAACATGAGCTTGCATTTTAATGGTCCTCAATTTCTCCTGTCTCAGCGAATAGCGGCCGTCCTCTTTGTTTCTCAGGACAGGGTTCCAGAGTGACTCCCGACTTCTCAATTGTTTGCACAGCCCAATAAGCAGCTTTTTCAGCTTTGCTTTCTAAACTGATCACCTGTCTTTCTGTTTTCCACTGCAGCACCACCGTAGCCTCCTCGTTGGACAGGTCCTGTCTCTGCTCTTGCCTCTCCGAGTCTATCCAAATCCTGACACTCTCTGTTTACCTCCCTTCGGTGGCCCCCAAGATCACTGCAAGTGAATGGCCCTCCAGAGAGGCCCAAAAGGTCCGAGCCTCACTATGTCCCTGACCCCATGTCCGCTCACAGCCTGTGAGTATCTGCTGCACATATCCAGCCTGCCAAACACCATCCTGTCCCTTTGCTCCTGCTCTTCTCCTGGTACTGGTGGATGAACTCCTTCCATTTGGCTCCTCTTCTGCAGGCCTTCAAGTGTTCAGTTTTTTTGTCTTGAATGCCAGCCTCCCAGAAATCCACAGGACGGACAGTTATTATTATTATTACAAAGAAGTCCCTGTCACATCTTCGCGGAAGTCTCCCAGGGCTCCCCACATGAAACGATACGATTGCATAAATAGCTGTGACTCCGCCTTGGCCTGCTCACGTTTTTAGTTGGCTGTCAGCTGTCGGTACACCATATATCTATTTTTTCTATCATATGTCTCCTAGACAAAGAAGATACAACTCATTTGTCTGCTTTGTTTGGTCCTGGATCCCTGAGCTGTCAGCGGAGACTGGCATGTGTGTGAGCAGAGACCCTCACAAAATATCTGTTGAGTAACTTGCAGGATTGATTTTTGAGGCAGCAGAGCTACTGGCAAAGAACATGGTTTCACATCTTGCCTCTGCCTGCTGTTCTGTGTTGATTCTTGTACAGGCTGCTTGCACCTCCTGGCTCTGATGTGATGATAATAAGAGCAATCTGTGACTGTTTAAATGTGGCTGAAAGTTCTCTGCCCTCGCTTCTAAGGAGAATGAGGTCTATGTCCCTTGTTCCCCTTTGACTCTGAGCAGGTGGCTGCCTTCTTGAGCAGTGAAATACGAAGGAAGGAAGGCTCCAGGGATGGGCATGCGAGGCAGTCAGCTTCTGCCTTGCTTACTGGAGCCTTTGGTCTTGAGCTCAGAGCTACCATGGAAGCAGTCCAAGTGCTCTGAGGCCACCATGCTGTGAGGCCCCCAAGCTGTGTGGAGAGGTTACACATGGTTCCTCCAGCCCTTAGTTCTGACCGAGCTGAGCCTTGAGTAGCCGGAGGCAGTTGGCCAGGTCACTTCCAACCAAGACCTCACATACAGAGTAGGAAGGAGCCATTCCTGTCTGGATCTCTGTGTCCTGTATGGTTTCTTGCTCTGAACAATCTGTGGGTATGGTAAAAATGGTCGCTCTCTGTGGTGCTCAGATCAAATGAGTTAGTTGTGCAGCAAAAGAAAACTGGTACCTCACTTCAAGAGCTGTTCTGAGAACTAAAGGAGCTATTATATGTAAAATGCTTACAGCCACGTAAGGATTGCTAAATAAACATAGCGCCTGTCGTTACTGTCAGTAAATTAAAACTGATAATGATGGGAAAATGTGAGGAATCACTTAATAAAAACATTCTTCTCTTACCCAACCTTGAAACTTAATTTGAAACTCATCGATTGCATTGTACTCCCCTAGACCAGTTCGTTTCCTCAGGTAGAAACTGTACAATCGTGTCTTTAGTACGATACCTGGAAATCAGATGCAGTGAGGCCCTAGGAGGAGCAGAGCCTGTAACGCGAGGCTGTGGACAGGTCCTGTTCAGTCTGTGTTCCTCTGGGCACCTAGCAACAGCGCAACGCCCAAAGTCAGCGGTACACAAATGTCTGCCTCACTCATTTGACAGATGAACTCGTGTTCATTGTTATATAAACTCTGGAAAGCATTGCTTTTTTTAGTATTTTCTCCATTTTTGCCTTGAAATTTGTAGTATTCGCTGAAAAGTTGATCGGTAATCTCATAAAACTTAAATTAATGTTTATAGATTACGTGGCCGGCATTGTTGAGAACGTACGGCGTAGCGTAAACATGGAACTCTTGCACAATCTTTTTCTGGACTTGTGCTCTTTTGAACTGAGTTCAAATCTAAACTAAGCAAGGCCACACAGGGCGTTAAAACAAAACATATATACAGTAGGAATGCACTGAAGCCCCTCACCCAGGGAGACAGGGAACGAAGGAGGTAATTTTTAAGAACCTGCTTTTGATTCTGGTCACCTGGCAAGCCAGTCGAAGAAAACATGTTGCACAAATGTGAGTTTCAAGCCACACACATTGTCTCGATAGAAAAACAGCCTCCAACATCCCATAGTGTTTTGCAGATTATTTGCTGAGTATGTCAACATATCCTCCGAAAGAAAAGCTGTTGCCTAGTTTTTGAGCTCTTCTCATGTGAAGATTTCTCAAGTTTTGAAATGAGAAAAATCCTTAAAATAATTACTTGAGTGTAAATCACATATTTGGATGGCCCTGGAGCATTTGCTACAAATCATTGACTATGGCTGGTCCCATGGTGAGACAGCCCTGTGCAGGACAGACCACGAGAGAGAAGGAAACCACAGTAAAAGGGGCAGAGACGCGAAACACGAAAGAAACAGAATGGGAGGGGAGGGAAATATTTGGATTGAAGAACTGATAAAGTTTGTAATGGTAAATATTAGACTCCTTTGAAATTAACAGTCTTCAAATTTTTACAACAACAAATAATAATGCTTTAATTCACTTACAGATAGTAAGGAGCACTCTGTTCAAAGTGAAAAATATCTAATATTAGTTTTTCTCAGTAACTGTGAAATGAGGCATAATGGCGTTGCTAGTGGTTCCCTGTTCACTGATCCAGTTTGGAAAGTTTCTCTGCAGGGTCTGCTGACTTTGTGGATAAAGATCATCATCTGTGAGTGTGGGAAGCTACGTGTGTCACTTGCCAGATAAATAAGCTGGAAATGTTTTTCAAGCAAAGAAAGCACATGATCATTAAATATACATATGAAACTCATTTTGCTATTTATGCTGTAACTTTTTTCAGTGGTTGGCCCAAAATTTCACTTTGCAAAACTATTTCTCTCATGAACTGTTGCTATGATCAGGATTAATCTTTGCTGAGCATCCATACTTGTAGGGGTTGTCACTGGTTGAACACTCAGTGTATTATTAAGCTGAGTTTATTAAGCTGGTGTGTATTCCATGTCCTAACACTAGCTTCATCTTTTTTTTTTCTTTTGTGGTACCAGGGATTGAACTCAGGACCTTATACTTGCAAGGCAGGTGCCATGCCATTGAACTAAATCCCTGCTTCTCATTCTTCTCACTGTAAACACGGCAGGCCTGAAATGCCTAGCACCATGTAGCTGGTAAGCAAAGAAACTAGGACTTGAAGCTAGATCCATATACCTACATATTGCCTTTAGAGAAGATTTTGGCAAGATCTGGGTTGGATGAATACCTTGCCTTCAACTCAACGAGAATTCATTGGTACCTACAACACACAAAGGAGTTGTATAGATGAACGTTGTTGGTTACATAGCAAGGGTCTAAAAAGGGTGAGATTATTTGAAAAGTCTGTCTTTAGGTGAGTAGTGTGAAGAGTGTTAACATGAGGTTTGCCTCCCTATTCTCAGCACCAAGAATTCCCTCAAATAACTTCCGCCTCACTACTCTTCCTCTTCTTCTTCCTCCTCCTCTTCTAATAATAATAATGAGAAGTAAATATTTTAAATGAAAGTTATTATTTATTGTTGTTTTCATTTATTTTTTTCTGGGTCACTTGGAAGGAAAAGAGGATTATATTCAGAAAATGGGTGGTTCACACAGCTCTCCCATCCTCGATGTTGTAGACTGTATTGATCCAAATGAGCCAGGAGGTACTTTTCTATAGCACTGATTGTTGACCCATGAGATCTGAGAGTTCCACTACAGGTAAGTAATTCAACAGTGAGAATGAGGAGGACACAGACTAGGGCAGCAAGAGCAGCATCACGAACTTTTTCAGTACATAACTGCTATTTCCCTTACTCCACCAGTTACAATAATCACAAATAGACTGGGTGACTGAGTCATTAGGTAGGCATGTTTTGATTTACTGAAGGACATGTGTACAAATTCTGGTCGATATTGTAAATCATGTTACTTTAAGGGTCAGCAAGAAATAGCTCGCTTCCATCGACCAGGTTATCTAGTGACTCGGAGGTGAATGTCAGATCTGAAGCAGACGGCACCTCTTGCCACTCCTCCCTGATGCTGCCAGCACCCTACTCTCTGGGCAAACCCCTTTGTGTTAGCCTCACAGCAGAAGAGTGGGTGAATTGCACTTGTTGGGTTTCGGTAGTGAGTAGCAGAGAAAACAGTAGTCCTGGGGTAGTATCATAGGAAAGCCTAAAAAGAAGAAAAGGGCAGAGAGAAAGAGAGGAGGGAGGAAGGGAAGAGTAGTAAAGAGTCGAAGAAGAGGAATGATGTCTGATGTCCACGGCCTTTCCGGTGCTGTTGCCTGAGCTACTTGCTGTTTCTCTTGCTGTTCCTGCTGCCCGCCCACGGGAGGGGTAGGAGCTCTTTCTTTCACCGCACTGGTCCTAAGGATGGGTTGTCGGACCTTCGATTTGTTTTCATGTCTTTGGTTGGACAGGAGATAAGCGTCATTTAAAAAATTTACTTATCTTTATCCTTTTGTTCACAGAGTATACTTTTTATTTTTAAATTTTAAGTATGAAATCTATTCTCACTTCTACTTTTCTTTTTGAAATCAGCTAATCTTGTAGATAAATTGGCTGTCACCTAGTTCTCCATTACCCCAGTTAGATAGGTGTCAAACATTTCCAGCTTCCTTTTAGGTTTGCCTTATGGAAAATACAATTCATCCTTTGACTTTTCTTAGCAGTAGAAGGAGTTAAGATACTGAGTCCATTCGGTTTCTTTAAAAATGACATCTGTGAATATTACATTCATTTGATTTAAAGGATGGGTGGCAAAATTGAATATCTCACAGCTCTGGGAATTACATTCCAAAGCATTTCCCTTTCTCAGTAGAAATTAAACCAAATTTAAAATGCTGCTGTAGAAGAAGGCAGTTCTCCTTTCTCTGTCCCATGCTTCCCTCTTTGAAGCAGTTTCTGAATTTACTGATCTCAGAATAGAGACTAATAGTAAACAGCACTCTGAAAACAATGTGATCTGGATGGTGCCGAAGAGTTTAAAGCTATAAATGCTCTGCTTGTGAAGGAATCTGCTAGTTTCTGCAGATGTCCCTCCTATCCCATGTGTGTCATGATGTCACACTCCTGCCCTCCCTTTCTCTAGCTTGAGCTCGCCCTTGTGTCTCTGCCCCCTTAAAGTAGTAAATACAGCTTCAAAGAATGTGTGTAGCTTTTCTTCTTCCCCTAGAAACATGACTGTGCCTCAGCACCAAGGTTCTGTCTAGAGGAGAAGTCCTCTTAACTTACTTGTAAACTTTCCTAAAAGAGTCTCTCCACACTCAGGGGTTTCTGTATCCTAGATTTAATTCCATAAGTGAATTAAACATAAAATTGTGTGATTTGGTTTCATGGCTCCACATAAGCATGAACTCCCTTCCCAATAATCAAATATGTATTGGATAACGAACTAGTTTTTTCCAGAGGATTTAAAATGGAGAATTCCCAAACAATTCTTGGAATGATCACAGAACTAACAAAAGGACTGAAAACTATGGCTCAGAATCAATGTTCTTATCCTTAAAAAAAAACAAAAACAAAAAAACAGCCCAAACCTCATTTGTGAGATTTGCTGAACAGTGTAATATTAAAGTCACTTGGTTTGCATTTATCTTAGTCAATATTTTTAGCTCCCAAGTTATTGTCAGTTCAGCTCTTCAATAAAATTCAAACATCTTTGGTTTTAGTTACATAAATTATCTTTCAGGATATAATTAAAAATTAAATGTAATCCATTACAGGAGACCAGCTTGAAAATGCACTGAACAGGTTTTGCATATTATTGATTTGGCTTCTTATTTGGCTACTGATTAAAACTGTGTGTCACTCCAAGGCCTAACTGTGAATTAATTGCTAATTGACCTCTTGGCTAGTGTTCAGAGATAGATTTCCCTATGCCAAAGGTCACAATCGAGATTTCAGTGAATGATGAGGTTGTGATGTCTCTATAGCAAGAAAACCCTGCAGCTGAGAATTATGACTCTGTGCAACCATTCTTTAAGATCAAGAAGTTAGCAAAAATAATGCAAGTGGCTTATTAGCCATGACCTCAAGATAGCATAGATGCCTTTTTGACTGTGACTTATCCTTCACAAGTATACTCCCTTTTCCAAGCCTGGCTCAATAAGGACATTAGTTCTGCTGTTCCCTACATCTGCTTTCATGCCTCCTGCTATGTTGTATGATCATGAATTCTAATGCAGAGCTTGTGGTCTTAGCCAGGACAGAGCCAAGATCAGGTGGTCTCTAGCCATGAGAGAGCTAAAAGTTACTTCCTGATCCCCTAGAAGTAACATCATCATTCTTTATTCCTTGTTCTTTGTAAATTATTCTTTCATCCCCTGCTGTCCCCTCAGCAGGTGACTGGGAATCCCCCAGTGACTGGTCAGACTATCTACCTGATAATCCATGAATTTATTATTGGTTTCTTCTTAAAGTTGATACGAACCTTCATTTCTCTCAGATGGTACATTCACACAAGTTTTACACACACACACACACACACACACACACACACACTCACACCCTCCTCCTCCAGGAAAGAGTGCAAGAGTCACTGAGATGTAAAGAAGACTTGC